AGTGAGAGAGAATGTTTGTGTGTTTGTACTGTGCCTCTCTCTCATCTCACCCTCAGAGTTGAATGTCTGATCCCGTCCTTTCCCCTTTTCCATCTTAATCTCATATTCATATAATTAATATCAAATGTATAAAGACAACATGAAATAAAAAATGACCCAATTTAAACTCTTAGTAATCTTCTCCGATCATATTGTGCACGATTCTTGAATACACATTATTCTATTAAAAATGTGAGGAAAATTACCTTGGCTATAAATCATATCTACTCGACAACAATAGTACATCCAACAACACAACTCTGCTGTGCAATAACCAATCTGTTAGAGTGTGGTGATTTCTTTATTAATGTCTATCCCGTCTCCTAGGTGACATTCTTCTAAACGTGAATGGGGTTGACCTGACGGGTGTGACTCGGAGCGAGGCTGTGGCTAACCTGAAGAACACCTCGTCCCCGGTGGTCCTGCGGGTACTAGAAATGAGACCCCCTAATGACAGCTCCCTGGACTGCATGCCGCCCCTGCATTCCCCCTGCGCTCTCTCGCCCTCTTCACCCGGAGACATCAAACTACCCCCGCCTAATGATGACTACGCGCCCCTCTGGGTGTCCTGGCTCCAGCTGCCCAGGTACAATCAACAGAATAGACACAAAGAAACAGGCTTAAATTAATTGGAAGTATCTTTGGCTTGTTTTATTCATATCAAAGTAAATATGTGACATGTCAAAATGCAATGCTACTTTTTTATTTCAATATTTTATTGCTGTTTTTTTTCCTAGTCTTTCCCCCACATTCTTCCCTTCTCGGAGCTTTTTATTTTGCCCATATTTAATGAATCTTTAGAAATTAAAAAGAGTCACTTGCCGTGATAGAGTGTGAACGTTCTTAACAACTTCTAGAATTATTTCCTTTGCATAATAAAAAAAAAAAAAAAAAAAAAGAGAGACAGGAGAACAGAGCAGGGTTGAGGAAAGCCCTTCTCACCCTCTCTGCTGTAACCGGTTTAGACGCTTGAAAGTGTGACGGCTTTAAATAGACCCTTCTCTCCCATTCCCTGAACTTTTCCTTGTAATTATGCGTCTTTCTTTCCTTCACACTGTTCTTTTGCTCTCGCCATTTCTACATCATCTCATTTCACAGAAGTCCACTCTAAATCTGAGCTTTGAACTTTCATGCTGTTAGCTGTCAGACATGGTCGATATCTAGCCTTCGATATTGTAAATATCCACAACAGTAGCATTTTTCCTAGGATTGCCAGTGTTGGAATACAAATCGAGACTTTCAGTGTTGCTTGCCATTTGAAACTCACTTATTTCCCTTAGATAAGCTCCATCTGAACCTTTTATTTATTGTAAATGTATCTTTTAACCACAACGTAATGGCTCCTGAAATGCACCCCTATGCATCTCCCTTAAATGAATAGTTTACCCACAAATTATAATTCTGTAAAATAAGGTTCAATTTGTTAACATAAGTTCATAAGCAAATTATAATTTACATATAGCATTCTGGGTAACTTGAGGTCCTTTCCTGTTCCTGTTTCCCGCTCTCTTCTCTGTGTCTGTTTCTGTGTCTACATGTCCTGTCTAATTTATACAACTTGAAATGTTTAAAATGCATTAATACTAGGGCTGTAACGATAACCTCATGACACGATTCGATACATATCACGATACTGAACTCACAATACAATATTATTGCTATACTCCAAGACGTATGGTAAAAGGTTAACAAAAAATTAACTGTTGATTCAAATGCTAAATTTGGTATTACATTGGGGGTGGAATAAATAGGCTTGGACTTGGTGCTGGTAACCCAATGCACAGGACAATAGTGACACCAGAATACAAATATTCATGATTCTGAAGCTGAAAACAGAATTATTTTAGACGAATATGCTTGCACACTGATAATGTAGGCCACACAAATATCCCCCCATTGCATTATTATACATTATATTCAACATTATATATAGTAGTTTAATACTGACACTCTGAAAAGATGGATTTTATACTATACACAACTATACTGAACTATACACAATACAGATTGTCAATATAGATGATACATATTGTTGCATTTTTGTATTGCGATATTTTCTTGATATTGACAATATATTGTTACACCCCTAATTAGTATTGTATATGCATGTAGAAATTAACATTAACCAACATTATTAAATGCTGTAAAAGTAATGTTCATAATACCTAATGCTTTAGCTAATGTTAACAAATTAAACCTTATAGTAAAGTGTTACCAGAAATTCTATCAGTTTTTACTCACTCATGTTGTTCCAATAGAACATGACAATACCAGTCAGTTACCATTTAAAAAGAGATGCATCATTTCCTGTCTTGGTGAACTATCCCTTTAAGTGTTCTTGCATTATACGCTTTGTCCTTTGTATAACTGCTGAATGACAATACAATTAACCTTGAATTTCCTGTCCATTCCAGGCATCTATACTGCTGTAAAGACATTGTCCTCCGCAGGAGCACGTCTGGCAGTCTGGGTTTTAGTATTGTGGGTGGACAAGAAGAACTCAACTGTAACCAGTCCTTCTTCATACGCTCTATCGTAGAGGGCACACCGGCATACAACGATGGGAGGATACGGTACGGTCACCTGGAATATCTAGTGTCTGCTTTTGACGGAAACCATGCTTTATGTCGAAAAACTATTATTCCCAGTACAATTTATTAAATGCTATTTTTTTCCTTTACCCTCATTCTTGTCATGACTCCAATATTCTTTTTTCCTTATTAGCTGTGGGGACATCCTGCTGGAGGTGAACGCCAAGAGTACCTGGGGAATGACACACACGGCTCTAGTCCGCCTACTCAAGGAGCTGAGGGGTCGGATCACTCTCACCATTGTTTCTTGGCCTGGCAGCCTGCTATAGGACTACTCTGCATGGGGGAGGGGCTTATTACACTGACCCCGCACTAGGGGGTGGAGCTTACACTACAGACCTTTTAATGACAACAAAAACGGTGGATTTTAGAATCCGAGACTTCCTTAAAAGGTGGGGCTTATGACACGGACTGCCCCTCCAGGAGCAGGAAATGACACATGGACCTCATCCAGGTAGTAGGAGCTAAGACTCTAAACCTGAAGGCGGAGCCAACGACATAACTCCACCCACTAAGAAGCACGTTCGTCAGACTCCAAAACCAGGAGGCGCTTTCACAATTGCCCTTTTGTCGATCGGCAAGGCATAAATATGACATTTGTGCATGAGAGGAGCATCATGTTGGTTATAGATAGAAGGCGGAGCTCTTAATCAGTACTAAAGGACATGGGAGGGTCTAAAAACAAATTCAGGATGCAATGAGGAGCACGGAGGAGTCGGAAACGGATGTATAAACATTTTTGGCACTGTGCTCTATGTAGTCAGATTGTGTCACTCTAATGTTGTTCGTAGAGGACGTTCAAGATGCTGCACATGAGAGGGGTTTCCTTCGGATGCGAGGTGAAAGGGATACTGGGATAAGTAGGGTTTGGGCGGGGGACACACATTGCCAATTCCATTAGTTTTACATGTTAGAAAATGCATCGAAGTGGACGCACATTCTTTACTATAAACGTCGATGTCTGAAAAGATGATAACGAAACAGATTCAAGCACTTGTACAATGACTAATATTACCTTTGGTTTATTTCTCTCTCTGTTTCTACGGCTTTCGGATATCGGCTTCATTTCGTTCGTTCTGACAGTGGTTCGTTCTCTCCATCCGGCGGCATGGAGACACATTTGCCAAGTAGTTCTATCTATGTTGGTACGTTTCAGATGCTGTTGCATATGAAAATAAACTATAGTGAGTAATACAAAAAAAGAATAGCAACTGAAAAAAGAAAAGCAAATGTTAATAGTCTATTTTAAAAATGGATGATAACTTATAATGCTTATAATGACAATGTGAGATTTAGGCGGCCTTGCTGACTTTTTTGTTTACTTTGGAGGAGAAAGGACAGGAGAGAGTGGTGTGTGAAAGGCTCACTGTGTGAGTGTGTGTATGAGTGTGTGTGTAGGTGTCATTGTGGGGTAAGGTGTGTGTGCTCTGGCATCTCATGCTTTGGCTTGTGCAGTATATTGTATCTGTTGGTTCCTTTGTTTCAATGATCAATAAAGTCATTCTACAAGGAGACTTGTGTTACTGGGGGAATTCTTAGTGTGCACTGTGTGTGTATGTGTGTGTTCCTGGTAAACGCTACGTCATGGGGGTTTTATGTTATTTGTCAGTGACATTTTTTGGTCCCCGTGAGGAAAAGAGCTTATAAATCATACTAAATTATGTTTTTTTTTTTATTATGTAAAAATGCAGAAAGTTTTCTATGAAGGTTGTGTTTAGGGAATTGAATATACAGTATGTACAGTATACAAATCATTATGTCTTTGGACAGTCCCCATAAAACATGAAATGTGTGTGTGTGTGTGTGTGTGTAAATACTAATGTTCAAAAGTTTGGGGTTGGTAAGATTTTTAAACGTTCTTGAAAGAATAGTCTTGTTCACCAAGGATGCATTTATTTGATCAACAATACAGTGAAAACAGTAATACTGTAAAATAGTATTACAATTTAAAATAACTGTTTTCTATTTAAATATATATGTAAGAATGTCATTCATTTCAGTGATGGCAAAGCTGAATTGAAGTCTTCGGTGTCACATGATCAGTCAGAAATCATTCTAATATGCTGATTTGCTGCTCAAGAAACATTTCTTACATTATCAATGTGTCAGTTGTGTTGGCTAATATTTTTGTGGAAACCACGATAAATTTTTTTCAGGATTCTTTGATGAATAGAAAGTTTTAAAAGAACACCATTTATTTAAAAAGTAAAGACATTTATAATACAAAATATTTCTTTAAAGAAAGAAAAAATATCTTACGGACCCAAAATTTTGAACGATGTGAATTAAATGTGAATGTACCGACTGACCTTGACTGAAGGTCAGTACATCTGCTGGCGTTCTCCACGCTAAAATCATGGTTCACACACATTTACGTTTCTTGATCATGTTTATAATGATTTTCTTCAACAAAATTAACATTTGGCACAACAAAAATACCATTTTGTATCATCAAAACAATAAGAAGTCATTTTAAATAATGAATAAATACATTTGTAAATTAAAAAATAGTGTACCCTTTGGACCACTTTTTACTTTTTATAAATTAAATTTTCAAGAAATTAAATGTTAAATTGCTAAAACTGTAACATAAATTGGTTTACCAAGTGTTTGGCATATGATTAATCAAAATCTATTCACAGTTGGTCACTCAGGCTTTGACGAAACTAATGATCTTTCACGAAAGACCTCCTATTGGTCAACAAACGGGCTCACCAGCTGGCCAGGGAGTTATTCTGTGGCCTCTGACGGGTTCTCCTGGTCCGCAATGCACTCCTCGCTGGGCTCAAGGCTTCCTCGGTTGTGTCTGGAGCGTTTGTGCCTGTGTCTCCTGTGGCTATCTGCGTCATCACTATCATGACGCCTCCTACTGTTGCCACTAATGAGAGAGAGAGAGAGAGAAGAAGGTCACATGATCTATAAATATATAATGGTTATATAAGATGGTTTGCCCCCTCTAATGAATATCACTTTTGTAGGCCTTTTTGTGTGTGTGTGTGTGTGTGTGTTATTCTGCATGATGTGGGGCTGTAATAGCATGTGAACATACTGTACATTTGTTGTGGTGTTAACCATTGGCATGGTTTTATTTCAGTTAGCCTAATAGCTGGTTTGATTTGCATTGAGAGATGATCTTATGGAAAGTACCCCATGCCAATCTCTAGGTATGGTGAAGGGTATGTGATGATGCGGGGCTATTTTAATTCCAAAGGCCCATGAAATAACTGGCCTTTAAAAATAAAAATCTGCCTTCCTCTATGGGAATTCAACATAGGGGTCTCCTGACTTATGCCCCCTGTATTTTAAGGAAGAATATTTATTTATTTACGATACATTATTCATTCACAAAGAAAATTGGTGTCCGATTTCCAAAAGATTTTTATTCCTCTTTTTAGTCAACTTTAGCATGGGTGTGTTCACTAATGCTAAGCACTGTAAAAAAAATAGCCCGTTAAAACATCTTAACCTTTTTTTATTTATATCCAGTTGGGATAATTATTTACTTTTTCCCGGTAAAATTTTGGTAAAAATTCTTAGACATCACTGTTTTGGCTCTCTGGGCCCAAGATTCTCATCTTTGATGACTATTTTGAGTGTTTAGCTTTTTTTCTTTTCTTTTACAAAGTACTACGGCTGTCTCAATGGAAATGAATAACTATTTCAAAAAAGTATTGCCCGGACCTCAGCTGGGAAGGAAACATAGAGATTGGACCTCTTGGAAATTTTATTGAATACCCCTGCTCTACATAATGCACAACATGTCATTATACAGAAATGCTTTGTCAGAATACATCGGATTTTACAGCTTTTTACTGTCTACTGTCACAGCAGATTTTGATCTAATCACTGATTTATGTTGTTGGGAATGACTTCTTAACAATAAGTGTTGTCAGAGCTGATTTAGTTTGTTTTTGCTTGTTTTTCCATGAAAAGCACTTCATGTTAGCTACATATTCAGCAATATTTGACAGCCACAGGTCACTATGGAGTCAGTAGAGGAATTAAACGCATTACTAGATAGGAGAATGTTATGAAAAATATATCAAATGTTACAGATTAAAAACAAACAAACAAAGGAGTTCAGTGCAGGGAGATTTTTTGCCCCCACATCTGAAACATCTAGGCCGGGGAAACATTTTAGTCACCTTTGGTATATACAGTATTTTGTCTTTTACTGTCCTGCACCATGGTGAATTTCTGACCCTGTGCATTACCTGCGTGAGGATCTGTGTTGTTCATTCCTTTCTCTGTGTCTTCGTTCTCGATGTCTGTCCCTCTCTCCTTCTCTTCCCGAGCTTTCCCTGTACCTCTCGCTCCCGTGATGACTGTGATCCCTGTGTCGAGATGCACGCTCCTCCTCACTGCACACACATATTCAAGCACAATGAGGCAAAACAACACAGCACATCAGATCTGTTCTAAAACCTAGCAAGATGCCTCACTACCTACTACATACCAAGGTAGCTGCCTATTAACCATCAAGGAACCTCATAAGTGACCATTTGAAATGCACAACATAAGCAGCAACTGCAAACTGGCAATTGTTATCAACACAGTTTGACTTTTGCATTTTGCTAAGCTAATGGTGCTAAGCTAATGCTCGCTCGTGCCAACTATTACGCTGCATTTTAGCAACTTTGCACAATAATTTAATCTATTCAATCAATAATTTAATGTCCTCAACAATAGCATGCATTAATATGATATGTACAAAAACTATGGAAAGTAGGAAAGATGACTATAATGATAACTATTTTGTCGTCCACACCAACAGACAATAACATTCTTTTATTGTTTAAGTGTGTGCTGCAGTTGTGTGGCCAAGCTCAAGCTCTTCAAAGTCAGGTGGATTCTGCTTGGCTGAAAAAAAATCATTCTGAAAGAGATTCTAATGTTCCTGTGTTGGTCTCATTATATCTGAGGTGTAGACGTTGCTATTTTCTGATTTTCTCAAAACTTCATAAAGTTATCGTCCTTGGTGTAAAAGGGACTTAAGGCTAATGGAACCTTCTTCGTTTTAGCTCCAGTAACATTTAAACACTTACTTAATACATGTTAAAATGTTACACTTGTTAGATTTATCTTCAAGTATATCATATTCCAATGAAAGTGCTTACAGTTTTAAAGTAGCTTCCCCAACACTCTTAACACACACAGAATCAGAATGATTAAATTCAAATATATTAATATTCTTCTAAATGTTTACAGGGTCACTGTCACGCAAACACACCGCATCTCTCTGAAATGGCTCAATTTGCAGCCATTATGACGTATCCTAATGAAAGCCTCTAAGTGCACATTAACCACGTTCTCTCTTTCGGTGCACATTTGCACAGAAAAGAGACAAACTCAATAACATGACCCTCCGTCAGTAATTAGCAGTCAGCTAAAAGCTCCGGCCCTCAGGTGACGTGCAATAGATTAGTCTTGGAAACACTAATCGGATGACAGGGGACAAAAGACTTTGTGGTGGCAGTGGTCAGTGTGAGGCATACTGACAGCCAAATGTTTTTATGTTTTTAAAGGCACAGTTCACACAAAAATAAAAATCCTACTTCTACAATACATTTTGAGTGAACTCTCCATTTAAGTAACAAATATGTAAATATGTTTCCTTTCTGTGTATTTCTCAATGTTAATCAAATGATGTAATTGTTAGCAACCATTGCTGAAAGCCCCACATGAATCCGTGTTGGTGTGTCGCATGCTGTTGCAAATTGTTCTTCATGCTATTAAAACAGATTTGAACAATATTCATGGCCCTCTGGGACTTATAAATGTATAAAGGCACAATGAGTAAGACATGATGTGGGTGTCTGTGTGAGTGTGTGTAGGTGTCGTGCCAGCTGGACTGAAGACAGGCCAGTCCTCTCTGTGAGCCACAGGAATGAGATCATATCTAGGGGACAAGTGTTCACCAAATGTCCAACCAGTTGCTAAGAGCATTACCAGCCAGATTAAAGAGAGAGAGAGTGAGTGAGAGATAGAGCAAAGTGAGAAAAGAAGGAAAAGGTTGTGTGGCAGATTGTTTGAATGCTGATTTTGCTTTTAAGTTTGGCCATGTTTACACCTGGTAACATTCATCTTGGAAGATCTGATCATGAGTGATCAGGCAAGACAAATTAATTATGTTTAAAAGGTAGTATTACATGTACTATGAAAAAATAAATAAATAAATAAATCACTGGATGTGCCCAGTTTTGCCAGGTACTGTATGTGACTTTTTTAATTTGTAACGATTTAATTCGAGCCACTTAGTAGCAAGCAAACAATATATTTTCACATAAATAACACAAAAAAGAAATGTTTCTTGAGCATATGAGAATGATTTCTGAATGATCATGTGACTGAAGACTGGAGTAATGATGCTGAAAATTCAGCTTTGCCATCAGAGGAATAAATTACACTAATATTGTGAAATATAGTTATTTTAAATATCTAATGTAAAATCTACTGTTTTCACCGTATTTTTTGATCAAATAAATGTAGCCTTGGTGAACATAAGAGACTTCATTTTAAAACATTAAAAACCATCCCAAATTGATTAGATTTATTGAAATGTAGTATATTTTTGGACAGATAGTAATGATCACAAAGCCTGCATACATACATACATTCATTAAAGCTTATTTTAATTTGTCACAAATGTGGTTTCAAGCATATTGTTATTTGTGTCTCATACATGTATTAAATTAACTTTAAAAAAGAACTTTATATTATTTACATTCATTCATTTAATTTTATTGAAATTCAAATTCATTTCAAATTTGCATTACTTTATACGTCACACTAAAATATCCTGCAAAGTCTGTATATGCAATTTTTTTTTATAAAATAGTATTTTTCTAAATTGTCACTGCTGTCCAGGACACAACATGAAAGAGTGTTTACACTGGACATGAAATGTGTCAAATGTGTTTCTGAGTATCTCTGAATGCAACTGCAAATGCAAGTGATTGGACCAACAAATATTTTGAACCCCATTAAAACCAGTATTTACAGCTCATGATCGAATCCCTCGAAATGGATATTAAATTCCAGCCGTAAACAGGATCTTAGATGTAAAGTTCTCTCAGCATGTGCTAAAGCGAGAGAGGTTGTGTATGGTGAACAGAGTGTTGTCATTCACTCAGCGTGTGGCAGACAGAGATCGATTGTGCAGCTTCTGAGTGGATGTTGTGTAAAACAGTGATAGAGAAGACACAGATTTGTCAGTGTATATATGAGAGAGAGGATCTGAGAGCTGAATGAATATGTAACTCAGTAGGTTCTCTGCTCTCTCAGAGAAACGGCACAGGCGCTAAGCTGCTAACATACCCTCAAAGCCTTGGCATGGGCGGCTGCGTGTGACAACTTCAGTCCTAGTTTACGTGGTACCAGGCCAAAAGCGTGTGTGTGTGTGTGTGTGTGTGTGTGTGTGTCCTCGGCTCGCACAGGCCCAGCAGTGAGTCAGATGACTCATGCTGAGATTTGGCAGACATTTTATTTAGCACGTTGTCATACTTTTTGATTAAAAAGCAACCCTTAAGGCACTAGAGAGGATATACCCATCCAGATATTGAGATTTGGTCACTCAGGTTCTTTCTGTGTGTGATCTGTCTCGATCACACACAAAAACACTTTAACATAAGGTATTAACTTTAACATCTGACAAAGTAAAGAAGAGTGTGGTTTTTATGTGTGTGCATGAAAGAACCTGGAAACGAGAGAAAGAGAAAGATAATCTAAAAGAGAGAGAGCATGCTGCCTTCGTAAGTGTGACAGACCGGTGTGCTTCCCAGCTGTTCTACTGGCCTGTTTTAATCTCAGCTGTCTCCTCATGCGACCTCACACTGAATATACTGCCACCACAGCACAGACTCGGAGCAGAAATGTGTGAGGTCAAAGAAAACTAAATATGGATCACCAAAAAATGAAAATTCTTTCCAAACTCGGACTTTTTTTCAGCACAAAAGCAATACATTTGAGGAATATGTTGGTTTCCTTGTTACAAGCTGAGACTCAACTTTCTCTGTTTCACAGAGAAATTGAAGTATTACTGGGGTTAAATAATTGATGATGATTAATGAATTTTGGATAAAGGGAAGGGATAGTTCACCCAAAAAAAGAGCATTCTGTCATTATTTATTCAACCTCATGCCATTGACTTCCACTGTATGGACAACATTTATTTTTTATTTTTTTGATCATACAGTTTAGAACGATGAGGTTGAGTAAAATGATGACAGAATTTCCATTTGTGGGTGATCTATCCCTTTAAGTGCAATGTGGACTAGATCTGTACCAACTGATCCATGGCTGGAACTTTCATTCCCTAAATTAAAGCAAACAAACAAACAAACAACAAACAGATGTCTATGAAAAAAGGTCATCTATATCCCAGTACTCCTAAACATTGATAAAAATGAAGATAATATGTACAGTCTTTCTCTTTTGGGAGAACGAACCAATAATATTGATGACTCAACTTGCACTACACAGATTTTTATCCAATCAAATGCTCTCTAGAATGAGAATGACCCTCCCCCCAAATCACCTCACCTGCTAAGCAAGTAGTAATTCTTTTGTTTCAATAAGAAATGCATTGACACGAAAGAAAACTGCACTGGTCAAGAAATTTCACAGATCTTACAAACAGTTCCAATTAAATATCCAATTAACCTTGCTATATTCAGACTGTTGATTGGCTGTCTTACCTTCTGTGGTCTTGGGAGGATGGACTGTGTTCTCGATCTGTTTCTCTGTACCGCTCTTTCTCACGCTCTCGCTCTGTCTTGTGCCCTCTTTCTCTGGTTTTCTCTCTCACCCTTTCTTTGTTATGACGGGAGTAGTCTTCCCACGCCTTGTCACTTTCTATTACACCTGGCCAGGAAGCCATGCCCATTACAGGTGAGTACACACCTGGAAAAAAGAAAACATGAAATTATTTAAGAAGCCGATACAAATATACGATATGTATTGATTGAAATATATAATATAATATGATTAATATAATGTAATATAAGCACAGTAGTGATATTAAACATCAAAGTTATCAAAAAAAGAATCAATCTGGACTCTGATCTGACATTTTACAATATCACACAATCTAGCTAGTTCAAATCTAGCTCAAATCTGTCAAAAAGGTATGACAGTTTTATGCAGCACATTTTTGCTGCATATTTAAACAACACATTTGAGACAGATGGCAGGATAACAGCTTGCTATATAACAAGCAAAGCTATTGCTTTCTCTCTGTCTCTCTTTCACACACAAACACGCATACGACAATCACTGAAAGCTCACAGTGACAATAACGGCTTTGGTCTCTTGAGTACGCCCAAATCATTACAACACGCAGAGGTTAACAAGGCCACAGATTTTCTGACATGCTCATTTTTCTGTGTATGTATGTCCTTGTTAACCTCTGCCAACAATAATGATGCGTGCTGGACTGCAGTGGAAATGCTTGCAGTGCATTTCTATGCTCAGTGGCTGGAAACGTATCCCTCCACAGTTGTACAGGACCTGGGTGTGTGTGTGTGTGTGGTGATGAGAGAGTGTTGAGTATATTAACGCTTTGTATGCAGTTCTACACTCTGTTGTCGCCACCCCTCCCCCCTCCCCCCTCCCTACGCGTCCTCACATGTAGAAATAAGCTCTGTGACATTTGTGGCTGTTGTGGCCATCTGTGCAGAAACTCTTCTTTTCGCTATTTTGATTGTCCAGGCAGGGTGTTTGATGCTCCAATTAAGACGGTCCAAATGCAGGTTCCAAATTAAATAATTTCCCACTATTCGCTACAAGACTTTGGAAAATCCACAAGGAAATGTTCCTCAAACACAGACTTAAAAAAACACACACAAAAACATTAAAAGGTTTCCTTTCCCTCCCACACAGAAAATGTAGGTGCCAATGAAAACTCACAATGTTCCATTAGCGAGTATATTTCATTTCCCATATGTCCCAAATTTATTTTCAGGGCCTAAACTTTGAATCACATTACTATATAAAAATGATGATTATTAGGTTAGAACTGGCATAGAACCAAAGGTGATGAAGTTCTTAGAACAATCATTCAACAAAATACACATTACTCATTGCAGGTGTAGTGCATATCTTTCATAGACTTTCAATATTCATACCTGCAGTAAAAGGGTAAGGTGGAGCTGAGCGTCGATCATAGCCTCCTGCCAAACGTCCACTACTGTGATGAGAAAGATAACGTCAGTGACAAAAGTGTGGCTCAAAAATCCACTATTTTGCATTTTTCTTATTTGTTTTATTTGAAATATTTTAAACATTTTTTTTTTTCTTAAAACCATTTGGATGCACATACACACTAATTTGAATCTTTCTCTGTCAGGAAAAAACGGTGCTGTTACATGCAATGTGATTGACTTTGCCAAAGGACCCTTATAAACAAAAACGAAGGAGTGTTAAAGATTAAAAAAAAACATTTAATTAAAAAATTATTTGCTCTTACAGCACCCGGAGCAGACAAGACCCTATTGCTTTTAACTAACAACAAAGAAAAAGGAATAAATAGAGCATACCAACAAAATATGCAAAAAGTAAGAGAATAAAGGGGCAGACAGAACTTTTCTCTATGATCAAAAGACTTTCCTCTGTTTCAGAGCTCAATTTCCTCATTGTTTGATGTTACTGGCATTAACTCAAAGTGCAGCATGCGCCCCGGTAACATGCCAGCAGTGTGTGACTGTGTGTGATTATGTGAGCAGATACAGCTCAGGCAAACAAGCCATTGCCATAAAAACCCTGACTGCCCGCCCTGCTTCCGGGGCGTTCTATGCTGGAGTAGAAGTTGAGTGTGTGTGAGAGAAATCGCATCCAACAGGACTCCTTGTGGTCAGGTGTTGGTGCACAGATTCTATTAATATCTCTGGAAAAGATGCTGCTGTTCTGGTTTCTCTTTCTCTTTGTCTTTCTCCCTTCCTGAATCCCACTTCCTCTCTTCTCTCGCTTACGAATCCTTTTAAATTCAGCCAGCTACAGTTTTTCATTGTTGCTCTGTCTATACACATCAGAACAGACAAAAGGAGATGAGAGGAGGAATTTATGATAATCGATGTTAGATGATCTGGCAGTTACAGTCTCATCTCACCCCCGAGGTAAGCTTTAATTAGCGCCTGGATCATTAAGACAGCTAATCACTGCAGAATTTGACCCTGATGGCCTCACACTAATGGCTGCGCAAACATGCAGTAGGCTGCTCCACATCTCTTTGCTAAGGAAGCATATCAACAATTATTAAAACGGTAACACTTTACAATAAGGTTTCATTAGTTAACATTACTTAACTATTTTAGATAACATGAACGAATAATAATCAATACTTCTACAGAGCATTTATTAATCTTAGTTAATGTTAATTTCAACATTTACTAATATATTATGGAAATCACATGTTGTATTTGTTAACATTAGTTAATGCACTAACTAACATGAACAAACAATGAACAGCCGGATTTTTATTAACTAACATTAACAAAGATTGATAAATACTGTAACAAATATATTGCTCATTATTAGTTCATGTTAGTTAATACATTAACTAATGTTAACAAATGAGACCTTATTGTAAAGTGTTACCATTAAAACAATTATTAATGATATTCCACAACATGTGATGAGGGATTGCTGGCAAGTAATGAAACTATACTGGATGTGGATGCCAAGACTCAAAACATCTAAATCAAACCCAAGGATGAAAGCAATCTGCACTTAATATAAAATGATCGCCTCTTCCTAAAAATGGACTGTGGATTATTTTTGATGACTGGAGAGCCAAGGCATGATACATTTAAAGCAGAAGGAAAGGTGATATGCTTTTAAAATAATCTCCCAGAGAACCTTGTGGCCTATTTTAGTGGCCGGTTGCATAAACTGATTAGCCTAGTCATAAAAGTTTGTCATCTATTTTTTTTTTCTCTTCAAAACTGGTCCTAACTTTTTAAAGCCAGTTACATAAAAAGGTAGATCGGTCTAATTTGAATTGGAAAAGTAAGACTGATTATCTCTTGTCTAACTGCTGGTTCTTAAGACACGGTCTTAACATAGTGGCTAAGTTTATGCAACTGGCCCCAGGGGTGTCCCTCAGGGCTTTGTACAAGGACCCTTTATATTTACTATATTCTCCCAGCATGTGATGTTTATGTGTGAAAAACAGGCATGCATGTGACAGAGAGGACAGAAAAGAAAGGAGAAAAGAAGAAAAGTGAGTTTTTTGGAGTGATGGTAGGAGAGGAAGTGATTCATGAATTATACAGTTGTTGGCTGGCAGGGTTCGGATGAACGGAAACTCCTCCAAGGATGTTTGGACTTGGCAGAGAAACTGAGACGTGAGAAGAACCATTCTTTAAACAACAGAAAAAAGAATGAAAAAAGCAAACTTGAGGATCAGGAAATGGAAAAAAAATTGAGGGAGTTGGGTCAGAAGAGGGTGAAAAAGGATAAAATTAGCACAGAGAAGTAGAGAGTCTGCTGCCATTTTAGTTCTTTCTATCCACCTTGTTTTTTAACGCGGAAGTAAGCTATTTTATGTGAATGTGCGAGACTTCCGGTTCATTAGCTGCAAGGGAAATAACGAGAAGAATAACAAAGTGCAGTAAATGGTAAAACTGTTTGTGCTTCAAACCAGCGTGTTCATGATTAAGCCACTACATTAAAATAATAGGGTAAGAAATACCAGTTTGCAATATCAAGCAGCATAATGAGCTTTTTTGTACAGCTAAAAATAACTGGAAGCGGATGACACCAGAAGCCAGACACATTAAATTTACGAATGCCATTTGTAAACGTACACGCCATTTGTACATGAAAAATACGGTGGATAGGACATACTGTAAATGACGGTCAATTGAGAGAAGTCAGAGCTTTCATAAAACTTGCCATTACAAGCTCGACAAAGACATGAACAGAGCATAAATCCACACGACTCATGCTGATGCTTAACGAAGACGTGAACAAAGCAGAAATCCATTTAAAACCCACACTAATGCCTTTCAAAAGTGGGGAAGCACAGATGTCACTTATCAGTGGCAAAATGTGTATTTAGATTTTTTTGTTTTTATTTTATTTTGATGTCTGCAAAGAACCTCCTTCTTAAACTGCCACTAAACAGTCACTTACTTAACTTACTAAAAAATGATGGATCAAGCTCACAACTGTAATTTTACGAATGACACTTCCAATATCATATACAAAATAATATTACATTTTCTATAATTATATAAAACAAAATCTGAATATATATTTTTAAAACAAATCACAAAAATATCCACAGAAGGCAAGCGTAGAAGTATTTATAAACCTAGCAATAAATACAGTATGTATGTGTACTATCAAAATATGTCATATATACCTATTGTTTAGGAAATGCCATGATTCCCCAGAAGCCTTAAAACAATTGGCACTGAACCACTCAAATGTTCTGCAGATGGTGATGCCTGTCAAACTGTGAGGGGAGTGAATCTAGAAATAAAGCAAGTGAGGGGGGAGATAGATAGGCAGAGACTTGGCTGTTTGTCTTAGGGAGAAAGGGAGGAAGAGTATAAGGCATAGATGGATGGGGAGTTATGGATGCCTGTAAACAGGAGGCCAGAGGCACAAACATGGCCACCCTGTCTGTGTCTCTCTCTGCCTTATTTGGCGTTTGACTGGGTCAGGGATGGCTTTTTAACCGTATTTTAGTTTTAAGAAGATAAGTTAATGGCTTCAGAGAGCTGAGAGGCATACAAGTACATGTACAAAGAGACGCACGCACACGCACACTCAAACAGGCGCACACATCTTTGTGGGGACTCTCCATAGGCGCAATGTTTTTTATACTGTACAAACTGTATATTCTGTCCCCTTACACTGCCCCTATCCCTAAACCTACCCATCACACACAACTTTCTGCATTTTTACATTTTCAAAAAACATTACTTAGTATGATTTATACGCTGTTTTCCTCATGGGGACCGCTGGCTGGTCCCCACAATGTAGGTGATTTCAGGTTTTACTATACTTGTGGGGTCATTTGGTCCTCACAATGTAATATAAACATGAACACACACACACACACACAGTTAACAACCTAAAACACACTTTTGATATCTTCCAAGCACAGAGATGAGCTGAAAGAGCCTGTTCAAACTGAATAAGTAATTCTGTGTGTATGGAAGAAAGACAGTCACAGTGGATTAACTGAAGCAGATGGGAGTTTAGTGCTTTTGTCTTGATTTCTCTTCTTCTAAGTCTGGGGTGAAACTTTGATGAGGTGCCCTACATACTTTCAGACAGGAACAGAGACAGAAGTAACAACTCTGACAGAGTGAAAAAAAAAGCTTTTGTAGTTGCAGCCTAGCTTTACTGTCCCATAAACTCCATGAAGGCTGCCAATCACAGCTTTAGGAAGAGTCAATCATCTCTGTCATGAGTCCCATAACATTTAAACATGCTTTACTTTCTTGTTTTAACCTCATGGGCATCTTTTTATTCCTTATGTGATATTTCCTTTTGGTAATTACAATCTGACATACTGTATAATAGTCTGCTAAAAGAAAATATTGTGCCCACATGCAGCAGCATTTACTTTGCCTGTCCTGTTTGGATTCTTTTAGCATACAATTCATAAACAATGAAAATAAGGCAATAGGAATGACTATAACTATCCAAGTTGCGAATTCAAAAGTTTGGGGTCAGTCGGATTTTTTTTTTTAAAAGTAAAAAAAAAAAAAAAAACTTTCATTCATCAAGGATACATGTTTCTTGAGCAGCAAATTAGCATATTAGAATGATTTCTGAAGGATCATGACAAGACTGGAGTAATGTGGCTGAAAATACAAAACAGCTATTTAAAAAACAAAATGTAAAAAAAAAAAAGGTGAATAAAGCATTCTATCCCATCCTAATTTATGTGCATGGTTCCTACCACATAAACTATTTATTCACTCCAAAGGCAAAGCATATTCGTTTATAATTATTTTGGATTTTTTTGTTTGTTTACAATTTATGTAATACATTATTGATTTAATAAATTTAAAACATATTTTGTCATAAATTTAAAATGTATAAATGGACACTCCACTAATGACTTCATCTGAATATTAACTGGTTAAACTGGATTATTAGAGGTTATTGAATAAGGCACAGGTGTTCTGCAACGATGCAACATTATTAAGTCTCTTTCACAAGCTCTACCTGTTTGTCTCTCCAATTCTTTCTCTGTCTTTCTTTTTCTCCCTCTTTTGCTTGTATAGTGACCTGCTATGTTCTTGCTTTCTCTGTCTGCTATATCTCCACTGTCTCTCTCTCCAGTATCTATGTGAGATCAACCTGGACACATACACACACATGATCCATATATAATACACAAACCCTGCTATAATGCTTAACAATCAATCATTAATAGAAAAAAAAAAAAAAAACTTAAAAAAAAAAACACTTACCTATCTAATGTTGGTATCATAGGTGGAGGGGCACCGGGAGGTAATGGGAAACCTGAAACGGCAGGCATAAACAGACATTATGTAAAAATTATATGGTGAAATAGCATAAAAAAGGAGAAACAAACAAATCATAAGTGTGCATGGAGTACATACTTCTTCAAACACCAAAATATGATTTGATTTAGTATAGCAAATGCATGTTTGTGTCTGTGCGTGCGTGTGTCCAGATGTCTTGACTTCAAATGACTCAACACTGTTTATGACACATCCAGGCAGAATTCAACAAATGCAGCGTCCTGCAACTTTTACTGCCCTTGCTAACCGTGGCCCACCCCCCACCCCACCCTTTAAATGTGTGCGTGAAACAAATGGGCCTTCGCAGCACCCCAAAAAACACATTCTCCCTCACATGGCTGAGACACACTTATCTGCTTTGATCACACTCAGCCACAGACTCGCAAACATTCGTGCACATCTGGGCACCATCCCCCTTTTGTTTTTCCACGGACCCCTGATGGGAGCCAGCTCCAAAAGACCGTTTTCAACAACAACAAAAATGACTGGAAAAAGGCTGAAAGAAAAACAGTAATTTGAGGAACACAGAAATCATGCAGCTCTGGTTAACACAGAACGAGGCAGAAACGCAGCATCCCCTCAAACGCATGCGTCCACTCACACAGAGCCTCGCAAATCATCTGTGTTGTCCTTGAAACTTCAGTCGAGTCCTCGAAGAAAGCATGTACTTTGTGAACTATTCCCTAAACTGCTTTTTTCCCCCAGTATGCCTGTGGATGCTATGCTAATTTATATCAGAGTTCTGTGGCAAGCTACAAAATAGTTCAGTAAGATCACAGATCTGCTGCTAGTGCACATTAGCACATGCTCCAAACAAACATGTCTCTATGCTACACGAGTTTGTCATGTGTATTTCGAGCATGAGGACAAAACAGGCTACACAAAATTAACTAGTCAAAGGTATGGTAACATTTTATAATAAACAAATACATTTGTTAACATTAGATAATGCATTTTCTTATAAATGTATTTATTTAAAAGTCTATTTATAAACATATATATGTACTCTCCCATTCAAAAGTTTGGGGACAGTTATTATTATTATTTTTTTGTTCAAAAGTGACAATAAAGACAATTTTAAACGTTACAAAAGATTTTCGTTTCAAATAAATGGTGTTCTTTTGAACTTTATATTCATCAAAGAATCAATAATAAAAATGTTTTTCGAGCAGCAAGTAAGCATATTAGAATGTTTTCTGAAGGATCATGTGACTGATCACCTTTTCATTATTATTGATTTTTTTTTATATATATTAAAAAAGAAAACGGTTTTATTAAATTGCAATAATATTTCACTATACAATTGCAATATATATATTCTGTAAAGTACTGTTTATTGTTAGTTCATGTTAGCTATTGCCTTAGTAATAACATGTAATGTTATTCTGTAATGTATAACCATATGAATGCATGAAACAAATTTCTTTACATTTTTTGAGTGACAAGAGTTGACATGATTGTGACAAAAAAAGTTCTTCACAAGTATGCGTTTGTCTATTTTGTTCCATATTTATTACGTTGATTTATTTCGTTGATTTATTTCACCGAGCTGGTGGACGTTTTAATGAAAATATTGAACAAAGAGTCCTTATAGGTACTTTATGAACATTTACAACCATTAATGTCCTCTAAAAGACTCTGGACAAAAATATTTAGACTATCAGTACAAAAATGTAAAATACAAATCCTCTCCTATCAAATCTGTTATTAAAATTAGGATTTGAATAAAAAAAAAAGCTCTCACTCCTCCACAACCCCGGCATTTAATCAAAACATTCTTCTCCTAACAACTGGCTCTCTCCATCTTTTTCCCCTCTCTCTCTTTCAGCACAGCTGGGTCATTCAGCACATTTCCAGTGCCACGATTGTGCTGGCATGGCACTTTTTCGTTCTTCCCGCCCTGAGCTATTTTTAGCTGCACACAGCCTGGGCCGACGCCAAGGGGGTGCATTCGCGGGCCATACCCCTCAAAAGCGTTACTGCACCCTCCCCCCTCTAAATGCGAAATGCACGCACCCAAACCAGACCTCACGGCTGAACGTGGCACCCCGTAGAAATATAAATGCCCCCCGATTTATGTGCCCTGCCGGCGGCTCTGCACACAGCACATTAGCAACACAAAATAAACAGCGTGGCCATAACGGTAATAAGCGATATCCGGAAGGGGAACGAGTCCGAAAGAGAGGCCTATAACTTAAAGATGGGGAGGTGGGCTTATTCTTTGATAAAATGAAAATGGCCCGTTCTGGATTAAAGGCTGAACTTCAAAGGCTGGGCCTGACCAGGAAGTTTGATATTTTGACTGTATTAAAAAGGATGAGTTGGTCCTAAAAAAAAGTGATTGTGGGTTAGTCTAAGTAAGGGGTCTGAGTGGGCCGGAGGATGAGTGGTAATATTTGGCAGGAGGCGATTTCTGATGGGTCTTTGAAGCAGAAGAGGAGAAGAGTTAAGAGAGCTCAACTATAGACTTCCTGTTGAAAGTGAGGCGGAGCAGCATCTGAGCAGGAAGTTAGCCAAGCTGAGAGCCAGCAAGCCTGCACTGCAGAGGAAAACCTGGAGAGAATTACACACACCTGGATATAGACGCACTAGCTCAAGCGCACATGTTGTCAGACCCCTACAGAGACGCATGCACGCTCAATATTTAGTTACTGTTAAATGATACATGCACAGCTGCTGCAGTGTTTCTGGTTTAGCACTGAACTTTAACCTTGAACCGAAGCATAAACATCATTTTGGGGCATTTCACTGCATTGCCCTAGTGCAGGGGTAGGCAAGTTCGGTCCTAGAGAGCCGCTGTCCTGCAGAGTTTGGCTCCAACACTGAAAAAAACCTCTCCTGCCTATAGCCTTAGGCCATGTCCACACGGACACGGGTATTTTTATAACCGGAGTTTTTCTTACAGCGTTTTAAAAAAAAATCCCGTCCACACATGCTCGGTCTCCGTCTACATGAAAACGTAAAAACACGCAATCAAGCGCGGTCAAGAGCATGCCACGCCAGCAGGCGGCGATATAAACCTTAAACCTAAAGCCACGTTGGCCAATCAGAAGCGCAAATCTGATGTCAAACACAGCTGATAACGGCGCACACTCTGACGTCGCAAGGCAAAAACCCCGGTTTCACTGTCTACACGACAACACTGTAACCGGCGTTTCTGAAAATCCTCACCCTGGCAGGGGTTTTCAAAAATGTTCGGTTTCAGTGCGTTTTCGTGTGGACGAACGGCCGAACCGCGTAAAAAAAATCACGGTTATAAAAATACCCGTGTCCGTGTGGACAGGGCCTTAGTAATCCTGAAGACATTGATTAGCTTGTTCAGGTGTGTTTGATTAGGGTTGGAACTAAATTCTGCAGGACAGCGGCTCTCTAGGACCGAACTTGCCTACCCCTGCCCTAGTGTGTGATATTTTAACACAGAGAACATATTAAAGGTTTAGTTCACCCAAAAAATGAAATTTCTGTAATTAATTACTCATCCTCACGTTGTTCCAAACCAGCAAGACCTTCTTTTATCTTCGGAACACAAATGAAGATATTTTTTTAAGAAAAAGCTTTCTGTCCCTCCATAGACTGCAATGTAATCACCACTTTCAAGGCCCAGAAAGTTAGTAAAGACATTGTTAAAATAGTCTGTGGGGCAACAGTGGTTCATCCACTATGTAAACAGCGTCAGAGACTGACACAGAAGAGAAGAAATTGTTGAATAAAGTCATTATTTTTGTTTAGTTTTTTTGCCCACAAACAATATTCTCGTTGCTTCATAACATTAAGGTTGAACCACTGTAGTCACATGGACTATTTTAACCCTCTGGGGACCAGAAACGCGCCCGCGCGTTTTGCACGTTTTTTTTTTTAGCAATGCAAAATAAACTCAAACTGCTCTGTTAATTTTGATCTTTCATGTTCGTGTTATACATCAATCGATCCTGTTCAGTTTCTATTTTTTTTCTGTATACTCACAATAAAAATAAAGTGTTTTGCTTTTTGCCAAATAAAGAAAAATGAACATGACGCGTAACTCCACGAAAATTCAGTCAAACAGGCAAACATACCCACGGGCATAAAGCTAGAGATCGCATCTTTTAAATGAAGTCATTTATATTAAAAACAAATATTCTCAGCTTCTGGAATCTGTATGAAAATAGAGCGATTCCAGTCGAGCTCATTACGAGCTCATTCACTTTAATTCGTTCACCCCTACTCCCGGAGCGCGCTATTCACAACAGGGTTCCTGCACACTTTTGAAAGTCAAATTTAAGGCTTTTTAAGACCTTTTTAAGACCTGAAGAAATCAAAATTAATACCGTACATTAGGGCTGTGCAGTATTGACAAAAATATATCTTGATATTTTCAACGTTTTGTTGATAATAATTAGATGATATTTTACTGATTGTGTTTTTGTGCTGGTGCCATGGCTGGTTTAGGTCTGTTGTTGACAGCTGACTCACGAAGATATTCATATTTTTCATATTCTATGCAGTGGTCAGTTCACAGCAGTGACAGAAATTAATATTTTAATTAAGGGGCAATATTTGCCACCTTAAATTGATTTTTTTCAGGGGCATTTTCACCTATATATGGACATTTTTTCTAAACTTATTTAGAGTTATGCACAGAGGTGGAAAGTAACGAATTACATTTACTCGCGTTACGTAATTGAGTAGTTTTTTAGTGTACTTCTACTTTTTTAAGTAGTTTTTAAAATCTGTACTTTTACTTTTACTTAAGTATGTTTTCTTTGAAGTATTGTACTTCGCTACATTTGAAATCATATCCGTTACTAAGTAAAAAAAAATAAAATAAAAAAAAAAAACACTCCGGAAACTACTGCATTGATTGAAGGGCGGGAGAACAAACGTGCAAAAAAGGTGACGCAGACACAGCTGAAGCTGAAACCGAAGCGCCAAGCGAATTATGGCCAGTATGAAAATACTTTGTAGAAAAAAAGCGTGGTTGTCCTCGAGGATAGATAT